CCAAGCCGGAAAAAAAGCGGCGGCCATGTTTATTTAAATCCTGCGGGGGATATTTAAATCCCCCGCGGATTTCCCTATTCTGACTTGCCTGCTTTGCATGCCTCTTCCGGAGAAGGGGCCAGTCTAGACGTAGCCCAGTAGTATATAGAACTTAGGCCAACTGTCTGCACATGAATGAATTTTATGCTATAGGAAGAAGAGAATCTGTTCAATGTCTGTATTAAAAATGAATCAACAGATTCATGTTTCTCTCTCACACACACTCACCCCCTTTTTAATCATGTAGCCCGCTAATAGATATGAATCATTACACTCCCTTCTTTAAAAATCCGTAACTGATCTGTAAACAGATGGTGAAGGGCTTGTTTAAATGATGCAGGCATTAGAGAATCAGATGTTGTAAAAATGTAGATCACTATCATGGGGCTTTTGTTTTGTATGGGAAGGCTTTTGCTGGAGCCTAGAGACAGGTAATAGCACATGAGTGGGGCTGACAGACTTGTGGGGCCTAAGCAAGGTCGGGGGATGGCTCCACACACTGGAATGGGTGAGGCATTGGATAGAAAGGGTGGGGCTGGGGCAGGGGCAGCCACCCCTCAGCATCACCTGGAGCATGCCATGCTGACAACCTCACCTAACCAGAATTGAAAGCTGCCCAGATTGCGCTGCACAGTGTTCTGGTGGTGATTTAAAGGGCCTGGAGCTCCGGCCGCTGCCGCTTCTTCCCTCTCCTTTTAAATCACCAGACTCCAGGGCAACTGTCACTCCCGCGCCTCTTTCCCCCTCCCCCTCGCCAGTCAGCAGGCCTGTGATAAACAGAACTGACATGAGATTTTGAAACATGCACTGACTTCTGGGAATCATCTTCAAAATACAAGTGTTATTTGGCCATCGGTGCCTGCCTGCAATATTTCTTAACAGCTACCTCTTCTTATTCTGACATCAAAGCAACACAATGGTTGACCTAATTATATTTCTCAAGCCTCTGAAACATTTGATACCCTATGCCAACACAATTAGGATGACCTAACCTGTGCTGGTATTTACAGCTAAGTGGATGAAAAATTCTTTAGTCAGCCTAACTACTGCCTCTTAGGGGTTGAATTTACTACAATGACAGAAAAAAAACCCTTTTGTCATTGCTGTGCACATTACAGTTGCAGTGTAGCTGCAAAGTTGCAGCTGTTCCACTGTTGTACTTGTAATGTAGACATACCCTTTTGTGGAGCCCAATTTATACGTGAAGCTAAATATGCATTCAATCCCAATATGAATCTTCCCAGCCAAAACACTTCAATAAAGTCCTTACAGCCTTTTCAGTATTCTGACCTCAAACAAATCTGCTAAATCCCACACTCCTAGGGTTGGAACTTATATAAAGTTTTAGGTTTTGCCAACTGTGGGGGTGATTAAGGACTTGCCTCAAAAAATATCAGCCTCCATGCATATGATTAAGCTCATGGTTATTTGACTATACCATAGTTTAGTTTTCTCACTAAAGGCCATATCAATGTGGAATTTTCCAAAAACAAGAGCAGGATAATTGGTTTTATACTATGATCAACAAGAATAAGAACACGCAGCATAAATTTAAGTGTCATCAAATAGTCTAGATTCATGGAAAAATACCTCTTCCAAATCATCATCTGGAGTGCAAGGCGTCTGATCTGTTCTGTCAGTTTGATACGAGATAGAAGAACCATCAGACTCCAGAGAAGCTTCTTCATCATAGCCAAAAAATGTCTCCACGACCGGCTTCTGACCAAATGACAATGTGTAAGTGCAATTGAACTATACAAATATAGCTTGCAATATGGCAGAGGCAGCTGGGCCTCTTGAAATGTTTGGAAAAAACCCTCTCATGGGTATCCCCAGTAATTCTAAAGCAGAGTTTGGCTTAAACAAGAAATTTGTATTCAAGACTTGGAACTCAGCATATAGAGAGGTGCTTTTCAAAGTGTGGTTTCCATCTATTTGCTTTAATGTACTCTCTTAGGTGAAAACATATTGTTCTCAAACTAAAATATCAGGAGGGTTTTTAATACATTAGTTATTTAAAAATACAGAAGCTGCTTCTTTATAAATTTGTGGTAAACTTTTTCATCCCATTCATAACGAAAATGAACAGTAAAATAGTAAACATAGTAAAATTGTATGTAGCTTTAATTCACTGGGTAGATTATTTTATTTGTTATTTGGAAGCATGGAATTCTTTTTTACAAGACCTTCGTCACATTTATTTTACTTAAACAGAAAACAGGATTATGTAGCACTTTAAAGACTAACAAGATGGTGTATTAGGTGATGAGCTTTCGTGGGTCAGACCCACTTCCTCAGATCAAATAGTGGAAGAAAATTGGCACAACCATATATACCAAAGGATACAATCAAAAAAATGAACACATGTGAAAAGGACAAATAAAATTTCAGAACAGAAGGGGGATGAGGGGAGGAGGTAAATGTCTTTGAGCTAATGATATTAGAGGTGGTAATTGGGGAGAGTATCTTTGTAATGGGTAAGATAATTAATGTCTTTGTTTAGACCGGGGCGTAAAGTGTCGAATTTAAGCATCGGAACTACACAAATAAATCAAGATTTAAATCTTTTTTTGTTTTTTTTTTTTACCTTAGGGAGCTTTATCATTTTCTTCCTTTGTTTCCTGTACCTTAAAAGCTTGTCACGTTCCTAGAAAAATTAATTAGATACATGTGTTAACTAATGTCAGTGTTTTATCATTTAATTGTTTTGCATTAATGTTTGCATTATTTCTTAAACTTACAAGATTTTGGAGAGCAGTTAGCATTTGATTGATGGAAATTACTTTTTCTAATTTTTGCCAGTTTGCAGTGTGAACATATCAGTTACTTGAGTATATAGAGGAAAGTCCTGAAAACTAAGGAAAACTGAATACTACATACTGCACATTGACATCCTGGGCCTGATTTTACAGAAGCTTTGAAATTTTGTGTTATAGTGCTCTTCTGAGCAGTACTGAGATGTAAGGTAAATGCTGCCTGTGGATAGGTTTGTAGCTTCTATTATTTTCAAATGAAACCACAGGCACTTGTCATCTGCTCCTAATTGTAGAAAACTCCAGGCCTGATTTTGAAAAGCATTGAGCTCTCATAACTTCAGTTGTCCTTAACAAGAACTGTGGGTGTTCAGCACCTATGAAAATCAGCCTTCAGCTTCTGCTGTTACCCCGGAGTATTTTTATTCAGTACCTATTATCAAAGATCTAATACTAGTGGTATTGAATTTTAGCACACTATGAAAAACATTTTGTTCTGGGTGGTTAAGCCCCAATATTGATAAAAACAATACAGGTTAAAAGAAAAGACCAAACCCTATTTTCCTCTAGCTTATTAATTTCTTCACACGATTCAAAACCTATTATGGGATAGATTGATAACATGTTCTTACTGCCTATGACAGAGATCGTTTAAACAGAAAACTAATGCTAATGGTTTTGTGAATGGCAGAATGGAATGTAAATAATTTTTCTTAGCTTCATTGGCAGCTATGAAAACAAACTTCTGCCAGTAAAAATTACAAGATGTAACTTGCATTCAATAAATGCCCATCTATAATAGCAAAAGTGATCCTTAGCTGATAGCAACAGATCCCCCTGCACAGGTTCCCAATAGCTAATATGGATAAGCCAAGACTATTTTCAGGCCCACTGTAGAAAGCATGACTGGCAGCTTGGTGGAAACTGTCCCTGTGGGTTTTAAGCTCACAAAGCAGCTCCATAGTTTTAGGGGGCTACAAAACCCCACTACTCAGGCTACTCGATGCCCTAATTGGTACATTGGGCAACTGCCCATGCTGACATTTTAGGCTGTGCTATCTTTCTATATATCTCACTGGTGAAAGGGAAGTTGAAACTGTTTTCCAGTATTACAATCATGCTCAAACATCAAGAAATTTGCACTGCTAGGGTCTTCCTAGATAGAGTCCCTTGGTTAAATCTAGACTCTGAGTATAAAGGAAATGCATAAGAAGCATTACTTTGGAACACTTCATTAATACATGAGAACACCAGATGTTGTAGCTGGCCTGTGACATCTCAAAGAACCACCGTCTAAAATACACACAGATGAACACAGTGAAATTACATATATGCCTTACTTACTATCACACTCTTCACATAGCCAGCAGTTTCAAGGGTCTAATAAAAACAATTAGAGAATATCATTAAGTGCAAGGATATATAAATTTGATTTGCTTTATGATTAATTGCAAAGCCTGTTTACACTTTTTTAAAAAAAAGTATGAATTATTTTAGTTGAATTAAAAGACACAAGAAACCTGTCACTTACTCAGGAAAAACCCCACCCTGCATGAGACACTGCTGACGTGTTCGAAATTCCATTCTGCGTGACTAGCATCATGTGGTGGTGCCACTTTAATGCTGTAATCAGTATTGCAATAGACAGAACTGACTACAGACTTCTCCAGGTCCTGTGCAATGTAGGAGGGGCTTGGCCCTGGGCCCTCTGGAATGGATGGGGCTAGAGACAGTCAGCCTGGACCGCACTGAGCCTACCCCAGCCAACCCTCAGCATTGCCTAGGGCTCTGGTAGCTGCTGCTGTCATGGTAGCAATAGCCAGGAATCCCAGGCTATTTTTAAATTGCTGGACCTCAGGGCAGCTTCTCTCTTTCTCTCTTCATCCTTAGCAGCCCTGGCAATAGAGCATTATTTAACTCATTGAAAATCCCATTTTGTAGTCCATACCTAGGTTTAACTCTTAGTCGCTGTAGTTGGAATTTTACCTAAGTAAGGACTAATGATTGGGACCTTTCAAAGCCAAATCATCCTCCCCAACACTTCATGTAGAGGGAATCAAACCAGGAGGAGGGATGAGAAGGTGTGGAGGCATTTTGTCTTTATAACATCATACTGCTCTTTCCCATCCTGGAGTACTGTGGGTTGGGATCCCCTGAGGTGAAGGCGGTGAGCCAGGAAGACACTCACTATCTGTGGAATAAACAATCCTCAACCCAGCAAGATTCCTCATTAGAAAGTTATGACAACTTGAAGTTTCTTAATGCCCCCACCCACAATGGAAAACTCAGTGAACTTCCAATACATTATGCAGCATTAGCTCATGTAGATGACCTATGGTCCACTGTTGTTCTAGATCTGTTTTTGAAATGTTTAAAAAAATCCCCGTCCCCCCCCCCAAAAAAAAAAATTACTAACAAGCTTGCTTTCATTTTCTCCCTTATATGCCTGGGATCTAGAGATACATCTTTGCCGATCACAATTTATTAAAAGAAAATCAAATTTTAAAAGGTTTAATTATCTTAAAATAACCCTAAAACCATGGAAAATATTGCTTTTCACAAGTCTTCGGCTTTTAGGCTTGATCTTGTTCCCATTAACGTCAAAGAGATTTTTTTTCCCATTGACATTAATGGGAATAGGATATGGTCATCAGTGTGTTTCCCAGAAGGCTCAGAATATCTGAAAGAAGCTCAATTATACCTAGTGCATTAGGACAGCTGTGCTATTTGATTACCTTAGAGAGTTCATCTATGATATTTTGCTGTTCAATAATTTGTAGCCTCAGAAATTCAACTTCTCTTTCTTCTTGACTTTGGTCTAGATCATTTAAAGAGCTTGGTCTCCTAATTGTTCCAGCTCTTTGTCTCTGGAAAAAACACCCACAAAACAAAACTGCAAATGATTAAAAGTCTTTGCCAAAGCACAGCATTCAGTCCTATCCTTTTACCACCAAAAAATGTAAACAATGAATAGTTCTACAGCACCTTAGAGACTAACAAAAAAGGTAGATGGTATCGTGAACTTTTGTGGGCACAACCCACTTCAGATGAATGCAGTAAAAAGTCCAGGGTTACAGACTAACACAGATACCCCTCTGAGACTTTTACAACCAGTAATTCCTCTGGACTATGCTAAAATGGTGGGCTACATCTAGACTGGCATGATTTTCTGCAAATGCTTTTAACGGAAAAGTTTTTCCGTTAAAAGCATTTGCGGAAAAGAGCATCTAGATTGGCACGGACGCTTTTCCGCAAAAGCACTTTTTGCAGAAAAGTGTCCATGCCAATCTTGACGCAGTTTTGCGCAAGAAAGCCCCGATCACCATTTTTGCCATCGGGGCTTTTTGCACAAAACAGTTTTTAGCTGTCTACACTGGCCCTCTTGAGCAAAAACATTTCCGGAAAAGGGCTTTTGCCCAAATGGGAATGTCAAAGTATTTGTGCAAGAAGCACTGATTTCCGACAGTAGAATGTCAGTGCTTTTGTGCAAAATCAAGCAGCCAGTGTAGACAGCTGGCAAGTTTTTGCGCAAAAGCCAACGCTTTTGTGGAAAAACTTGCCAGTCTAGATGCAGCCGTGGTGATTCTTATTCTCTGTCTCCCCCATCTCCTTCTCCCTCCCCACCCAAACAAGAAATATAGGCTGGCATTATAGCTTCTCAGGCCAGAAAAAAAAAGCTAGATGCTAGAGCATCAGGAAGGCATCACCCTCATAGTCACCAGAGAGGAAATGTAGTTTACATAACTCTCATACATCATCTGGTAGCCCACTGAGGACTCAGGTTAACATCAGTCTTGGAAAAGACAGTCTGTTCAGTTTTATATCTCTGAAGGAGGAATTGAAAGATGTGGCCAAAGAAATCCTAAACTAAGATTAATTTTTTTCTGCATTGTTCTCATTATTCAGAAACACTGGATCTGGAGAGCGTGGGAACAACTGATTGTTTTAGGGGGAAAAAAGTGGTTTTGGTCCTGCAGCTTGCAGGTAATTTCTTACTTACTCAACTGCTGTTAATTTTGAAATTTAAACATAAGCAAATAAAAATATGGAGTCGCTGATGCAAATTTCCAAATCACCGCAAAGCAGTTGTGATATGAAACTCATAATTCAGATGAGATAATTTATAGCTCAGAATTTAAAATAAAACAGCTAAAATAAAACATTGGCTGAGCTAGGATATCAATTCTTGAAAAGCAAACTATTTGTTGACTACCTTCCCACTGTATAACTGGAACTCATCTATCAATAAGAAAAACCTGTAAATCATTCATTACATGTTTTACAACATCATATAAAAAAACTTAGAAAAATGAAAACACTTCTTTAATATCCTGCAATATTATGATATTTTTGTTAAATACCTGATTTCCTCAAAATTGTACATATTATTTTCTCTTCTTATAGATGACAGTGGCAGGAGGGAAACCTACCATTTCTATGTTCTCTTGTGTTACAAATTTCAATTTATTTTCCATTCGACGTAAGGCATGGGATAAATCTTCATTCTTCCTACTGAGACGCTTATTTTTGTCCAGGAGAGGTTTATACTGACTTTCTGCTTCTCTTAGACGTTTTAACTAAAATATTTAAAAATGAATTAACATAGTAGTTATTTCTATTTATCACTATAATGCATATTCATATATTTTATTACAATTAAAGTAATTTTACTACAATAATAATAGAATTCACTTTCAATTTTGAAAAAGGCAAAGCAAAATTTTCTTGGATTCCTACGTTCCATTCCTGTATCTGCCACTGACTCACTGTGTGGTCTTGGACAAGACACTTGACCTCTTGGCCCCTCACTTCACCTACATGTCTAGCCCTCATCCTTCACACACACATAATGCCTCCACACATAAACCCTTCATTCACATATTGAGCAATAGGGGTACAGAAAAAAAAAGCAACAGAGCCAAATGTGATATAACAGCAGCAGGTTTTTTTAAGGTCAGGCCCCCTCTAATTTCTGATGGGTCTAAATAATCTACTAATCTTTTCCAAAAACCCGATCCAAACCCAATTCAGAATCTAAAGTTGTAATTAATTTTATGGTGATAAGTGTTTCTTAGGGTGTTTTCTGCCAGCTGGAAAGCACCTACAAGAAATGGCACCCTTTTGTGCCCACTTCCACAAATTCCATTGTGCTCTTCATATATTCCACACTGCCTGGATAATGTCCCCATTCACCCACTAGGGATAACTGAGAGCTAATAGTACCTAATGTTTCAATCTTCCAAAGCAGATGTTTTCTTACTCTGTGAATATATTCTGCAATAGATCATATATGAACTATGATAGAGGAGCTTAGTGTTATCTCTGGTGAGGCTCCACATGCCAGTGCAAATTCTGATGTGCACTAATTTCCTAGAACTATAATGGTAGTTTCTACTTACAAGCTCATTTCTTTCTTCGGACAGCAATGCATTCCGATCTTCCAGCTTCCGGATGATTGCACTTAGCTCAGCAATTTTAAGTTGGAAACGCCGGGCATCTTTTTCATCCAGCTGCTGTTCCTAAAACAAAGATCAACTGCAAATAACTGTTCATAAGATCAAATAATTTCAAAGAAATCAACTTGGTCCTTGTCTGAATCCAACCATTTCTAACCTATTACACAGGAGAATGTACTCTGTGCCTTAATACAGGGGTTCTCAACTTTTTTTTCCTGAGGTCCTTCCAATGTCCTGTAAAAACTCTATGGCCCACCAGTGCCACAACCTTTGTTTCTTTGCATATAAATATGAGGGCCAGCATTAGAGGGTAGCAATTCAGGGAATTGCCTAGAGATCTATGCCAGGCAGGTTCCTGCAAGGTTAAGTTGCTCTGGCTTCAGCTTGAGCCCCAGATGGAAGGGTTGGGAGCCTCACACATTAGCCCCACACAACCTATGACCCTAGTAAGTCTAACATTGGTCCTGTTTGGCTACCCTCCTGAAACCTGCTCTCAAATCCCAGGTAGCCTTGGATCCTTGACTGAAAACTGCTGCCTTAGTAGAAATGAAAACTTCAAGATGAGACCAACAGAAAATTGAAAGAGCAGAAAAATGTAAGAAAGTATGAAAATGCAAAATTATGTATATGCAAACACTGAGTCACAAATGTTAAACTTGAAAACATGAAAGACAAAAACTAAAACTAAGGGAATGTTTCCAACATATGCCACTGTTGAACTGAGTTGTTTAAGACATGTGACTCACTCTGAATATTCTGTTATAGGGAAATGATATTTAGAAATACTGAAAAATGCATGTAGAAAATCCATGCAATTACACCATTGCATAAGTTTCTCTTCTATGAAGTTATGGCCCTACTTTAGCTTCTAACGTGTCAGTCATAAAGGTTTATGCTTTAATCAACCAAAAAGTGAAAATGTTTAAATCAAATTCTAAATGAATACAAATATAAAAAGACATGTTTTTATTCTTCTAAATCAGAGAACAATTACATTATATTTACTAAAGTTATAGGATTTTTTCTTTCAATAGTATTATTCTAATGTTTGATAAAACTTAAGTACAGAACTTTAATCAGAACAAGCAAATTAATGTCCATGATCTTAATGGAACTTTCAGAAGTTCTGGAATTCCTCATTCAACAGGTGCAGGAGAGACTCAGAATAATGAATAAAAAGAGAGGATTTTTTTGTGTATGTTTTCTATTATCTATACTTTTACTGAGAAAATTAAGAATCACTGTAAAATAAATCTTGATGAGAATCAACAATGAAAAAAGTTAACATATGTCGCAGACATATGAAGTCAGTTAACTCAAATATTTTACTATTAGCAAATTAATACAGAAGCAGGAACATGGCATAGTTACATAGAAAGCCAATATAAAAAGGTGACTAAAATTTGATGCCATAGGATATTGCATAGTATGAAAGAAACAATAGAGAATAGGTTAGAAATATTTTGTTCATTTCCTACAGCACTGGTTGAAAGCAAAAGCACTTAACAGCATGTAATAATGTAAATATTTATAATAGAGATGTACTAGTAGGACTGCAGTACCTTGTAAGCTTGCATGCTATTGGTTACACTACATTCGCTGATTTCCCTTTGTAAATTGTTCTTGTACATTTGCTTACAACACATACTGTTAATAGTCTGGAAAACTAGCACGCATACATTACTAGAAAGCATTTGCATAATTTGTTAGCAGATACTATGTCAAACTGTCAAATTAAGGCAGGCGTTTGCAGTATGATACATTTAAAAAATGAATATTTCACCTTGCTAAGAAAAAACAAACTAAACCAAAAAAAAAGCAAAAGCTCTCCCATGATGATTTGATTTTAATTTTAAAGATCCTGCTGTTGAATTACAGTCTTAAAGGAAATCTCTTTGGTTTGCTCTGTATTGCTAAGGGAAAGCTGTTGCTTAAATGCACACTCATCAAGATTCTATCATTTTTTGTTTGCTTGTTTAGGCGAAACCACGTGAAAGTGCTTACGGGGCTTCCTGAATGATCTGAAGCGTCTCCTGCACCACTTGCATAAGGAAGTTCCCGTTTGGGGCTGCTCAGATGTCGATCAGACTCTTTGATCTGGGAAAGTTGTTCATCTAAAGCCTCCTTTTGGAGCTGAAGTCTCTGAGCATGCCCGGCTTGAACCCCTAACTCTCTTTCCAGCACGTAGACTGCTCTGTCTTTAAATTTTATTTCCTCCATCTACAAGGAGAACAAAATACAATCATACACGCATGCACATTAAGGTCTCTGGTTACCATGGAAACTGGCAGCATCCCATCTTGGATTGTACCCAAAGGCAACCATAGCACAGTCAGTTTCACAGATTTGACATTCCTTAACACATAAAACACCATCTTTTGGAAAATAAAATAGCAATGAGTGTTTGACAGTGGCCATATGCATGGACTTGCTTAATTGCTTCAGTAATATTACATTATTTCTACACTTTCAATCACTTTTGGGAGCCATCCAGCAGAAATGATCATTTTGTATCAAGAGGTTCTCAACAACTCAACTCATCTGAAGAAGTGGGTTTTACCCACAAACTTATGATACTAAATATAGTTGTTTTTTTAAAGTTACAGACTAACAGTTCGTTACTAACTACCCCTCTGAGACTACTACTTGATTATTGTCATTGAATTCTTAGTATCAGTACCAGGCACTTTTGAGTTAGTGGTGGATCAAAAACTATGTTCAAGAACTGTCCCTCCCCCGCCAAAAAATTGCAGAACATATGATTTGAAATTTATATCTGGGTTCTAATTTCAGAGCTGGACTCTACCTCTGTGCTGGACTGACCTTGCATACAAAACAACCAACTTTGGGACTGAAGAGAGGCCAAAAGATTAATCGCCCCAAAATTGGAATAGTGAACATTGCAATCTTGTTTACTTTAAGGATCCAAATGTTACTTTTGTGCAGAGGACCAACCATGCATTGCTTCTTAATGAATAACAATTTTTCAAGAGCAGCCTGAATGGTTATTTAATGATTGTGATAATACACACTACTCTAATAGACTGCAGCATCTTTACCAGCAGGGGCAGCAGTGCAAAACATAGAGATCCCCTCCCCTCTCCATCTCCCTCCAGAGGGCGCACACAGAAGGTGCCTCCACTCAACCTGCAAGTGTTTCCAGGAGCAGTGTAGGGCCACACAGAGGCAGATTGTTTGAGCCCCACTGTGCTACCAACCGGGAACTGACTGTGGTAAGCACCTCCTGACCACAGCCTGCACTCTTACCCCTGTGCCAGCCCTGTGCCAGCACCTAAACTCCCTCCCAGAGCCTGCATTCATTGAATCCTGCACCCACTACAAAGGCAATTTTCCCTCTCTTGATATTCACACCTCCCCTTCAACTGCTGAGATGAGCCATATCCACCCTGACTGCACTGGTCCTACACTTGATAAGTAACTGCATTCTTTTGATATATTAGTACATACATATATCTTCCAGCCTCTGTGATTTCCACTACATTCATCTGACAAAGTGAGTTTTACCCGTAAAAGCTTATTCCCAAATTAATCTGTTAGGGTATGTCTAAATCTGGTAATTTTTTTAATAGAGCTGGGAATAATATGTACACTAAACTGCAAATCCATCTGCACTGAGCCTTGGGCTAGAAATGCTACATCTGAAATTCTGGCCCCATTGAAGTCACAGGGAGTTTTGCCAAACACATCAGTGGAGTCAGGATTTTACCCAATATGGGAAGCTGAGCACTACCTCTGCCCTACTTGCTCTCCTTCCTTAAAAGCCTCAGTAAAGGCATCTGTGAGGGAGAGGAATATAGATCTATTAGGCTATGTCTAGACTGCATTGCTTTTTCAGGATAACTCCTGTATCCTGGAAAAGCAATGCCACGTCCATTCAAAAGAACGGACATGCTCTTTTACCATCCCTGCAAATCTCGTTCTACGAGGAATGAGGGGTGGCTTGAAAGAGCACTTTTCCCCAAAATTTTGTGCCGTGTACACACATCAAATTTCAAAAAAGCCTCTTTCGAAAGTAAATTAAAAAAAACACAATTTGTGTACCGCAGACATAGCCTAAGTCTTGCAACTCCACTGATTATTTCAAAGATGCAAAGCTCTCCTATTGTGCAGCCTTTGGGGGTAAGAGCAACAGAATACACAATGTACTTAGTTTTCATTATCCGAAAGTACTAGCAGCACCTGCAGTAATAATGGAGGGATATGTGCTCTATCTAAAGTATTCACAATTCCTCACAATTCTTCACCAGTTATACACATATTAAAATAAAAAGAATAAACCCATAAGTAAGATATACATTATTATAGGAAGTGGATACAAAGTATGATTTGTAAACTACCTGTTAAAAGGATGTGTAAAAAATTTAAATATATGCATGTACAATTTTCTTCTATGCAAAATTATGCAAAATTAGATTGCCTTAGAAAACTGAGGCAATAAAATATATTTTATGTAGTACTCTATTAAAATGCTTTAAAATATTGAATACCTAGCAATACAGAATTCTACTAAAGTTTGCCTCATAACAAAAAGATGTCTGGTGAACTCTTCACCTGGCATGCAAAAACAGTAAACAAAGAAATTCTAAATGAAAAAAAAATAACTATATTGCCAAAGTCCCACTTATATGAACACAAAGAAATTCTGTAACACAGACTACATTTTCAACTAAGAAAAACATGAAATTAGTACAATTACAAAAAACTCAATACAAAAATTTTATTCTAGTAAGGCTTTGATTGTTGCAGGAAAAAAAGAATATATATTAGCTTTGGGAGGAAATAAGAAAGCATCAATATTTTCATCTCTCTTCTTTATGCTCATAATTATGGATAAAAGACAAATGTTCTTACATTTACAGTTCATTGTTAAACATTGATATATTTATATCATTTTATAGCAGCAAGAGGTATTCAATAAATGAATAAAGTTTTTTAAAATTATTTTATAGTTTTCTTCTTCACAGCATTAGTAATATTAAGGCATTGTTAAAAAAAGAAAATTGTTTGCAACTCACTGGAAAATCTTTGTCAATTTCCAGAAAAAGCTATCACACGCACTTGTTTCATTACTCTACACAGAAACACTGAACTACCTTCAATTAATGTGCCTACCTTCCTTACATTTGTATCTGGTTGCTTTAGATAACAGGATGACTTGTGAAAAAATGTCAATGAATATATATTAGCACTGTATCCAATCATCTAAAAGAGAAAGTCTTGCTTACCAGCATGGATATTCCCACTTTATTTTTATCAGGCTGTCTCCGCCTACAATGAATTTTTATGCCGATGTGCTAATTAATAAACAGACTGTGAGAATAGCTACTGCCAATTATGCAAAAGCAAAAACATGAAAAGTTGGGTCCCCCAAATCCCTTGTGCTAGTAAATGAAATTTCTAATATTTTTCATCATGCTGATTTCAAATCCTATAATACAATTTCTAGGGCAATATAAAAATCAATATGTGACCTTCAGTGCTCTAAAAATGTTCTCTTGTAATGTTCATGGGACATTTATAGCTTTACAGTCTCCATATGCATCATTAACATGGCTGTAAACAGCAGAAGAAGTCTGCTTTTGAAGCTTCCTGTGTCTATGCTAAAAAAGCCAAAGCTATTCCCAGAAAAAGGTTTTTTTAATTGCAAATGAGAAAATCTTTGCCAAGGCAGAGGCTGTTACATGACAAACACTTCCCCATGGGCATCATGTCAGAGCAAGCAATTAGAATGTGTAAGAAAATCTGCATTAATGCTCAGTTTCATACCATGTCAGAAGTGCAGGTGAATGATCTGTCAATCATTTATTAGTGGAACAGTAACTAAAAGTGCTAGATTAAAAGAAAGGAGATCTCTTCTCAAGTTTCCCTGATGTTATGGGAATGTACACTTGCATTCTGGTAGAAGGAGAGACCCAGTAAACCTCTCTATATGTAATTGCACTTATCCTTATTCAGTTTAACTTCATATTCCCTCTTTCAACATGAAGGTTTTTCTCAGTGTTTTGAAATTCATATATATTTGCCTCTTTGGTTCTTTTCTAATGTGTGTCACTACAGAGGAATGGCTAACCACTTAGGCTATGTCTACACTATGTGGAAGATCGACACTGCCACAGTTAAGCTTCTGGGGTTTGATTTAGTGGGTCTAATGAAGACCCACTAATTCAAACTGAGAGGGTGCTCCCTGTGACAACCGGTACTCTTGCTCCTAGTGAAGAGTAAAGGAAGCTGAATGGAGCATTTGCTCCCATTGACCTCCTGCTGTGTGGATGGTGATTTAAGATACATCGATTCCAGCTACATAACAAATGTAGCTAGAAATGTGTATCTTATATCAGCCTTCCCCTTTAGTATAGACGTGCCCTTAATGTCCTTGTAAAACCATTCAGACTGCAGGGAATAACTCAGAACATTGCATGGGTATTACACAATTGTGCAGATTACTGTTTTAGATTTTATAAACTGATTGGATATGACAGCATCCCTCTGAATTGATACTGTCAATTAGTCAAAGTCCAAAATGTAATTTTACTGCTAAATATTCCAAGCACATCTAGGCCAAACATATGCGTTGTATCAACACACTGATTTCAGTCCATTCAGTTATTAATGGACGATAGCAACACAGCAGATGCAGTGCAGGAAAAGCAGTGAAAGGGTGATACTATTGATGATGAAATATCCTTCATTTTCCTAAACAGTTTTAACAATTCACACTCCAGCTCCAACACAAAAAACAATGATAAACTTTATTTATTGATTTCATTTTTCTTATGCATTTATTTTGCCTGTCATCCATCCATTTAGTGTCTGCACACAATCCATATGTTAAATGAAAAATTTGATTAAATCAAAACTGGTGCTGGATGAACAGCGCCCCTTCCTGAACTGTCCTAACCAATCATAAATAACTCAGACATGGCCCATGGGCAAAGCAAATGCCAAATGGACAAAGTCTGCTCTGAAGTTGTGTAAGCTTCTAGTGAAAATTTACCAGAAACAACCCACTTGCTAGCCTTGACCTGCACATCTAAAGCACTCAAACAAGCACCTGAGTGCATGCACTTTATAAAAAAGGCTGAATTTGTGCCTGCAATTCACAACTGCTAAGTTCTGTGTATTTTCATACATGACATTTCCCAAAATGTAAAATATCAGATTTCCCTTCCAGATGCCCTATGAGTAGCAGGAACCTACTG